TAGCTGTAGTGATTTACATCAGCAATGCCCAAGCAGCCTCCAGGGAAGTTAACAGTCTGCACTTCGTAAGGTGCAGCAAGAGAAGGAAATCAGCCTCCCATCAGTGGCTGTCTGTGCTAGATCCTGCTGACTGCTGACTCCTTCTCCTGTCTCCATGCTCCTTCCACTGCAGATTGCTGTCAGCAGCAGCACCCTGCCTGATGCTTGAGGGACTGAACAAAAAAAGCCCTTGCACTTGCATCGTGAGGGGGCATCATTAATTTCTGTGTAATCTAACACTCATTTGACCAAAGCTGCCTTACTGGCACAACATTTTTTATGAAGTTTTGGTTTAGGGAAGACTCTGGCTCACTGTTGCTGGGCTGAAACTGTGAGCATCACTCTTAGCTGTATTCACAGCTCCATTTTCAGTATCTGGGCTATCTGTACAGTGCCTGGGGAGAAAGTCTGATTTCTGAGAATGTTTCACATAATCCAGGCTGAAACAGAGAGACTCTCTAAGCTAGTCAAGAGGAAATGCCAAGAAGAAAGGGGTGCAGTAAATTTTATGTCTTTGTGGAGCTTAAAGCTAGTGGGAGTTGTCTCTGATCAAGTTTTCATTGCAAACATGATATTTTTTGTATCTAAAGCAGGGGAGCTTTTCTTGGATATTTAACATATTTGAGTAAGAAGCAAGAACCTGGATTCAAATAGCTATTCTGCTTCAGGCAGCTTGAACTTTCATCTTTTATATGAGCTTGGTGAGAGTAATGCAATACTGATGGAATGTATCCTGCTTCCAAATAAAAAAGATGGCTAGGCAGTAAAACCTGCATCTTATGTGTGAGTGCTGTGATCATGGCAAAAAGCACCACCCTCCTTTTCCTTCTCTCTGCTACAATAAATATTTAATTACCTCCCACAGATAGTAAGAGATTCAGCAGCAGAGTTGAAAAGCTCCATCCCAGAAGATCCTGCAATTCAGGTCTTAGGGATGTTTCTTGTGGTGTATATCCACATCTCCTCAGGCAGAGAATGGGCTGAGCCAGGACACCTTATAAAGCAGACAACTTCTCAGTCACAAGTCCCAGAGCAAAATATGTTCCCCATCTGCTTCCTGAATATGTGGAAAAAACTGAAATGTGCAACATGGGACTTGAGAGGGGCCTTTGCAGTCATATGTTTTTGTGAGTAGTAAGACAAGTCTCAACATTTTGTTTGAAATATGAACTAGGAAGTAAGAAGCTCTGTTTTTTAAGGTAGATACAGTGATACAAGCATTTAAGAAGCCTCACAGGGGAAGCTCAGGCACACAAGGAATTCAGATATCTGCAAAGCTGCATGTGCAGAATTTAAATTTCAGTTATTTAAATGTAAATCTGTAAAGTATCAGCTCAGCATCTAAGTGCTCCCGTGGATGGGATCTCAAGCAGCTAAACCAAGGCAACAAGGGAGCTCTGGGGCACAAGGACAACTGAAAGGTGCCCTAAAGTCCCTACCAACTTCCACCTCATGTCACTGTGTGGTGATATAATGTTCATCCTGGCTGTTCATCCTGCTCTGAGGCTTGGTGAGATTCTGACATCCAGATTGTTGTTGCAGGAAGCTGATGGGGCTGCTGATGGGGCAGCTATAGTCATTGTGGACTATAGGGTTCAAATGGCAGCAGTCTAGTTTCCAAAGATCTTTTCTTCGCCTAGGAGCTGGTGCAAAGCTATTTTATCCCCCTTTCTTTTCCACTTGCAGAAGCCACTTCTGTTTTTGGTAGATGGCAGTGGTGCTGTGTGAGCTGCTGCAGTGTCAGAGCAGAGGAATGGATCTGCTCTCAGAGCCCCCAGCTCTACCATCAGTTCATACAGTGGTGAGTCACTTTGTGTGCATGTCTCCATTTCTCCATCCCTGTGGTGGGCAGGACAGCAGTGTGTCACACACGTTGTTCCACACTGCTGGCAGACTGGCAGGCAAATCCTGCAGTGCCCATGGCACAGGGCAGGGCTCTGTCTGCAGAGCAGATTCTTGCTCAGAAGAATTTTCCATACACACTCTGTTTTCCTATTGAAACAAGGTACGTCCTAAAAAAAAAAAAAAAAATCTATCTTTTTGACAGAAGATTTGCAAGGGACACTCACAGTGATTGGGGTGTCAGGGTAGACTGCAGTCCTGCTTTGAATTTGGAAGAAGCTCATCAGAGCCGGAGCTGGTATGATGAGCTGTTATTCCCCAGTGGAACAGAGATTATTTTTCTTGGGAGACCCACAGGCTCCTGATCACCCATTGCCTTGCTTCCCCTTCCAGTCACTTTTTAATTATGTTATTTCACATCATGAGCTACTAAAAAGAACACAAGGGACCCCCCAGCTTGATACAGTGGTCACTCCAGAGCATCTCCTGGGAAATTCAGGATTTCTGTATATCCAGCTGGCTGAAGTTGTTCTTCCACCATGACAGCATCTGTGATGGGAGGAAAGACAGCTTTGGAGTACCACTACAAGCCCAGCTCTCACCTTTCCTATGCTGCAGAATGCCAGCTGACAGCTTCCCTGTTGGGTCCTTGTGCACTTCTTTCCACCCTGCCCTATTTCCAGGTTCTTCAAAAGGACTGTGTGGGAATAGCAGTGACACTGACAGTCACTGACAGCATCAGGATGGAGGACTCAAAAAGAAAAGTTGTTAGTTAGTATCTAGTCACTGGAGTTACATAAATGTCCATTTTCACCTCAAAAAGCCTGCCAGAGGCAGCAGTCACACCTTTTCTGGGCCTGAGAGGTCTCACAGGTACTGGGAGCACCGGAGGACTTGCAGCTCCAACACCTTAATTTGTGAGACTTGGCAAAACATAAATATTCGCCTTAACATAACTGTGACACTCAAGTCTAGCACTACACTGATTTAAGACCTGAACACTGACCAGCCAGCAGCCCTCAGCCTCCTCCTGGCTGCATCAGCATGGCACCCTCTCCTTCTGGATGCACCTTCAGGATTAATTCATCTAAAGCTCCCCTGCTATATACTTCCAAAGCAGTGTAGGCATGGTTAATATTTATAAATAACCAGGATTTCTACCCTGCTTCAGCATTCATTATAGTTGCAGTGATTCAAACCTCCGGCATAGACAGGAACTGCCTTGAGCTGAAATTGAGCAACTATCTAATAAAATATAGTCATGAGATGAATAGGAGTTATACAGTTGAAGTGCCTTGAGCATGCTTGGAAGATTTATTTCCTGGCTTCCTCTGGAGGGCTTTTTAGCAGGGAGGATTGGACTCTGTGTGTGTGTATATATCCATATAAGAGAGAAAAATATTTTAAAGTTTTAAGGAGGGGGAAAGGGACATCTACACTTCTTGAGGAGGTGCTAAAGAGAGAGCATTCTTTATTTTCTGTGGACCTGCTATATTTACAGCTGCTGAATTTCCTGTAACAAAACAGATGTGAGTGCATCATTCACAGTCTTACAGGCAAGTTTGCCATACACTTGTGGTACATGCTGGGAGACTCTCAAAGCCGTGGTGCCTGAAGACTGCACTGGTATGTGGAATGTGGGTAGAGATTGTATTTGAGCTCAGATGAGGAAGAGGCTGCCGGAGAGGATTCTGTAGTCAGACTAAGATTAAGGAGAAATAAATAACAATTAAGAAAATATATTATGTAACTTCAGAGCAACATGTCCAGGGCCTGAAAAAGGAGAGCTCAGTAATCATTTCATACTCTCATATCCCTTTGATCTGTACACCTGTCTTACTACACATCTCTTCTGTCTCAGATGCAACTCCTCTGTTGCTCCTAAGTTCTTGCTCCAGAGGCTGGAAGTAGGGGGAATATAAGGCAAGGAAAATCCTAGGACTCTTCTCCTCAACCTTTCTAGGCTGCATCTATAAAGCAGTTACAATTAAAAAACAGGAAGTGTCCCATTGCTGCCAGCCAGAAGAGAGAGCCATTCCAAAGGGCTCTCTCTAGAACATGGCTCTGATTCTGTCTTAGGGGAGGGATACAGCCTGTCTGACCTCCTTAATCCTCTTATCAGCTGTTACTACCTTAAATGTAAGAAATTACACAATACAGCACCTCAGAAGTTTCTATCCACACTCTCCAAATAACACTGTAAAGATGTCACCCCTCAGGATTTTAGGTTCTCTCATAATTTTCTTCCTTTTCTCAAGCCTGCAATGTGCATACCAAGTAATGCTTCTCCCTTGTTTACCTGACTTTGAAACACCTTGTTCACAGACCCTGCTGACATTAAGATCATTGTTCTTGATGAACATCATCTCAGAATTGGCTAAGCTGACGACTGAATCTACCTCTGTTAAAAACAACTTATTTTATCCTAAGTGACCTAAACAAAGTACAAATTATTCTCTCTCTTTCTCTCTCCCCCTCTCTAGGAAAGATAGAACTCAGTTTCCTCCAGCTCTGTAATTTCTGGACAGACACAGGAGCGAGTCCATTACTAAATTTAACCCTGCATTCAGACCCACCCCTACTATGCTATGGTAACAGGAGTGTATATAGAGAGAGCTGGTGAGCCACCCTCCACTTGAATTGCACCTTTTGTCATCTCCTTGGCATGTGAAATACTGTCTTGTATTCATGTGCTGTTCATGTGGGAGTAACCTGGGGCAGTCTGAGCATAGGAAAATCTGTACATGTAGGAAAAGAAGTGGAATTGCCTTGAGCAAGACAACCTTATTTGACCCTCCTCCTTCCTTTACAGTTGGTGTTTCAGCTGGGACAGAGAAGAATGAGGGGACTGAGGCTAGGGCCAGATGTTGGCATCAGGAACACAGGAGTTGAACAGGTTTTCTCCATGCCTTCCTGCCAGTGCACATTAATCCTGAGCCACAGTGTCCTCTGTCATTCCAGCACTTGATCCTTTCCCTTAATCCTTCTATTTATACCTTCTGAGCTGCAGTCTCCTTTCTTATGTGCCAGTTTTACACCAGTATAAATTCATGGATGACTGTAGGTTTGTTACTGACTTACTCTCCCCCATAAAAAAAAAAAAAAAAGAGAATTAGACTCATCACTTCTAGGTACCTAGTGGTGTATCCTCTATCCCTTGGTTTTGTAAATACTCCTTGTGTTCCTATTTTTCATCAGTCTGTTCCAACACACATCAGCCTGCTGTTATTTTGGTGCTAGATTCCCAAAAAGCACCCCATGATGCTGCTGCTGAAACTGTGTCAGGGACACAGTAGATACCTGCAGCTTCCTCCATGCTGAGTCAGTCTGGGATAGACTCTCCCAGGGTGGTGTTCCTTGGCACCAGCATCAGCCAGGAGACGTCTGTCCGTAGCCTTTTATTTTTCTCAGCTTCACCCCTCCACATTCAGCCTGGCTAGTGTAAACTGTCCTTAGGATTGTTTAGTGTTCCTCATGGTTCCATTGAGGAGAGCCAGTTAAAGATTTGGACCTTCCTGTTATCCATTCTGGCCAAATGGAGGAAAAGGCCAGGACTTGTCTTGCCTAGAACTGAAATCTAAAGGCAGCATGGTATGTTCTTAATAAAGGAGTGATTATATAAATCACAGTAGCAAAATGTTCTTGCAGAGCACATGCCCCACTCCGTGACTGAAGTGTCTGAGAGTGGCTGCCCATCATTCCAGAGGAGGGATTGGCCTTGGACAGGGGTTAGTTAGTGTGCAGCCCCCTGTGTTACAGAGGAGCAGCTACAATTCCTGAGTCTCTTTTAATGAAGTTCCTTGTGGCTGTTTATTGGACAAAAATAAATTCCAACTGGCCCATATAACAAATGAAACTCAACTACAAAAATGTAATGATATTTATTCACCCAGCTGCCAGCAAACTCACATGCACTATGAGTCATTCCAGATGTGGATAAAAACAAAGTCTGTCTGTGAAAGTAAGTTTCCTGATCCCGAGGAGACTTGGTTTGGGAGACGAGCTGTGCGCTGACTTCAGCTCTACTCAGAAGAACAGGCAGGTTCTTCTGCAAAGGGGGAGGGGGAGAGGAAAGGCCATTATTTATTCCTGAAAAGAAAGGAGCTGGGAAAATAAAAAAAAAGCTACTGTACAGCTAGACACACGTATTTTAAGGAGAAGGATGCTTTGGAAGACTCTGGTGCTGCTGCTGTTCTATTACAGTGCTTATGCCACTGTGCCCCACAGATGGAGCAGAGGTAAGATTTCAACCTGAAAAACTATTTAAGATAAAAATTTGAGTTGTAGATTTGGTCTCAAATTTTGTTGCATTATACATGTCTGTAGATAGATATATACAATTATAATTTTTTTCCCTCCGAACTCTGGAATTTTTTTCTCCGTTAAACAGGTCAGCTAAAAATATATAGATCAATAAAAAATATACATGAATAAGTGCAAAAAGGTAAAATTATATATGTATTCTATTATAACAAAAATATCTAAATATCCCAGAATTACTTTCTTGCACTTTTCCCTTTCTTCTTTCTAATTTTTGTCCTACATTAACAAAAAAAAAAAAAAAAAAAACCAAAAAAACTTATGAAACTTTAAAGTGAATGCTTGTGCAGTCGCAGGTGGCATAATCTGCTCTAGCAGGAAGATACCTGGGAATAGTAAAGCAAATAATGCTTAGATTGTGCAAGGTGCCTGGGAATGCTGCTACCCTACCCTGGCAGAGGAGCACAGGTAACACAAAGTGCCCTGGTGTGTTATCAGGCTGCAGCTGCCAATGTGACAATACACAGTCATGACATATTTGTAATTTTTTTTAAGTGTGACAGCAGCATATGGAACATTTGGGGACTATTGGATTGCATAGGAGATGCTTGCTTCAAAGCTAGTGATGATATCCATTCCCTTTTTTGGTTTTATTCTCTCCTCTGGTATTTGGCACTGGTTCAGGAGCTGCTGGAAGTGGAGAAGGGAAACACTTCCCAAATGATTTCTTTGGTTCTGATATTCACAGACATTTAAAGGAACCAGAGTCTGCTAAAAAAATAGAGCATTTAAATGCCTCCTTCCCTATTCCAGTCTTCCTCATCATAGCTGGTACCATTCCAGTCTGCCATTTGGGTTTGGTTTTGATTTTGTAGCAGAGGGAATGGTTGAGGGATTTAATGAAGATCTACACAATCCAGCTCAGGCTGCTTAATTTTTCCCTACAATGCTTAATTATTCCTTTCAAAAATCCCTGTTAGTGGGAGCTCACTGGCAGGGCATTGACCTGGGACCCACCATGGCAGATTCTGTCCACAACTTTTTCATCAGACTCTTGGCTGATTTTGCATGACTTATTGTACCTGCATGCACTTTACTTTTCTCTTCTGGTATAAGACTGGAAATAGCATCAATATTTGTCATAAGAGCCTGTAATTATGTAGGTAAAAATTTGTTGTTCCAGAGGTGACACAAAAATGTGAGAAAATCAGAACTAGGTCTGTATAAATTAATTAAAAAAAACCAAAAACACCACAGCCCCACCCTTTGGAAGAATGATGTCACATTGCCTAAGAAATGGAAAAAAATTAGAAAAAGGAGTTCAATTTCATGTAATAATCACTATTCAATTTAAGGATGTCCTTCATTTTTGCCAACACACTTATTTTAATTAAACAACATCACAACCCTAAAAGGAATTCATGCAACTATTAAAGTTCAGTTTTAATCACCATGAATATTTAAATAAACATCAGAACTCTACTGTGCCTATTGGAAAAGCAGGTGTTTTTTTTCAAGCTGGAAGCTCTAGTGCTTAGTTTTGGAGACTTCAGAGGGAAGAGAAGATTCATTGCCTGTTGTGATAAGGAGTTCAGTTGCCACAAATAGTGTGTGCTGGCATTTTCTGAGGAGGAAACCAGATTTCTTCTCCACATCTACTAGGACTATTCTGCTCTAAAGGTGTTTTAGAGGCACGACTCCTTCAGCAATAACAACTTCTGTGAACCTTCTCTCCCTTGAACTGTGTGTCAACCCAACCAAATTTGCAGTTCCTTGAGAGGGTCCAAGCACTGTTTTAATTTTTTAATTGCTTAGAAATATAAGATTAAATTTGAGTACTGAGAAATGACACATTCTTCTGCACACTCAGAGCTCTCCCTCCACAATGACAACCGAGTCTTGTTTAGGTTAAACCTCAGTCATTTAAGTCTTATCCGAGTCCTGATTTGAGTTTTGCAGTGAAAAAGGAAAGACAGATCAGCATCTGGTCTGACAGAAATGAAAGACAGATCTGTGCATCATCTCCATGCTGACTTGTCATCCAGATTGTTTACAAAACAGTAGGGCAAAGGTCTTGCTTTAATTGCCAGCAGTTGTTGTTTGCAGTAGAAATGAGCAGTCAATGTTGTATACAACAATGTCTGGCTTTGACCATTTTTCCATGGGAAGCACTGGGCAGCCTGGGATCCCCAACCCTTGTAACCAATCATTCAAGCTTTGGCTCCAGGAAAACTCACACGTGAGAGAAGATGAACACACTCGTGCTGACTGGTAACTGTGAGCTACTGATGCCCTCTTTCCTTTGTTTGGAAGCATCAATGAGTGTGGGAAAAAGGAAAAAAAAAAAAAAAAAGAAAAAAAAAAAGAAAGCATTTCTGTCATTTCAGAGCATTTCAGAGGGCCTTTTCATTCCTTTTTCTTTTTAAACTGCCTCAGCCCTTTTCATTAAAAGTCTCACACACACTCTTCAGCCTGCCTTGATTGAGCTGTGGACACAGGTCCAGAAGCCACAGGCAAAACTTAGTCCTTAAGATGGGTGTGTTTAAAATAACACAGAAAAGATCCTGAGTGATGATGAAATAATTTTCTTGTCATCACCTCAAATTTCCTTGAGCCTTTTGTAGGCTTAGCTGCATGGAAGTATTCTCTCAGATTCTGTGAACCTCCTGTCTAGGGAAAAAGGGGAATGAAAAAACGTAATTAAAAGTCTTTACTGACTAAGTATTTTTCCCTATGCAATGGCAGAGCTGAGGTCATATAAATTCATCAAGTTACAAATAAGAATACCAAATCTTAAGAGATGTTTCTTCTGAAGAAACCAAGGAACAAATCCTGGGTTTTAGCAACAAAAATAATAAGACAAAAAACCCCACAACAAAAACAATAAAAAACCCCACAAAAAAAACACCAAAAAAACCCCCAAAAAACCCCTTCCATGCAGCTATGGCAACCAGTGTCACTGCTTGCTGGTTGCTTCCAGAAAATTTTGAGAAGTACCAATCCACTGGAGAGCAGAAGCCAGCCTTATGAGCACAAAAGAGTTGTCTGTTCCCTGAGGAGAAGCCCTAAGACAATCCTAACTAGCACATCTCAGCTGGATGGACTTTCTTTGCTGTAAGGGCTGCCTGATTCTAATAAATGGGACACACAAACAGTAGCATTCTTGCTGTGTGTTTACACAGGGAGGGAAGATGCAGGCTTCTTGTGCTTGTGGCTTTTGGACAGTGCAGGAGCAGCTGCAAGGGTAAGTTCACCCTTCAGTGGAGGCTGGAAGAGGAGATGTTAAAAGACACAAAATTTTAAGAATAATTTTTAGAATGCTTTACACTCACCAGTGTCAAAAGGATCTATCAGCACCACAGAGGTTTCATGCATTTGGGGAGTTTTTGTGCTGTTCCTTCCAGATCTGAAAAGCAGCACTGCAGTCCCATCCAGATTTATCTGGTCCATGTGCATTATTTTCTACCCAGTCTCTAGTGGCTGGTGAAAGTGAAATGGCTGTTTGAGAGCACCAGGGGAATGCTCGTCTCTCCTTGAAGGTTTTCTGCAGAAGGAATTGCTTGAAAGAACAGAAGGTCCATCCTCCCCGGCTGCCGCAGGTGTCCCAGACAGTGCTGGGCTGATAAGCACAACCTGTGCAGGTCCCTCAGGCACAACCTGTGCAGGTCCCTCAGGCAGGCTCCCAGCCAGGGGCACTCTTAGCAAGCAACTCAGCTCTAAGTGAGATCAGCTCTTTGGTGAATTCAGCCTTCAGTGATTTCAGCTCTTTGGTGAATTCAGCCCTTCAGTGTTTTCAACTCTTTGGTGAATTCAGCCTTCAGTGATTTCAGCTCTTTGGCAAATTCAGCCCTTCAGCTATTTCAGCTCTTTGCTCGCTCAGTGCCCCGGGCAGGTGCAGGGAGAGAGAGGAGAAGGCTGTAGGAGGTTCCACAGATGTGCCTTTATTGGCAGCTCCTGTGAAGGGTTTCAGTAACAGCTCTTCTGCTGAACTGGGCAGAAATGGGGGTTTATAAAGGGCGCAGGGGTTTTGGAAATGGTCCAATAGTAAGGGTCGAGGTGAATATGACCTGTGTTCTTATGGAGACCTCAGATAATATAACAAGGGTCCGAATGTGGAAGAGGGGCTTCTTTGGTGTTGCTGTCGAGGCAGGACAGGAATGGAGAGACTCTGACTCAGAAGGCTGTGAGAGTAAGACTCCTCTTTATTCAAAATACACTGCTCTTTTATACAGAGCTTCGTGAGGACCAACTCCATTGGTCCTGAAGTGAAAACCACCCCTACCATTGGTGCAAAGTACTTGACACACAGCGATAGAACTTAACTATAAACAATGTGAACAACAAGAGAGATAAATAATTATTTACATTCTTCTCCAGCTCTTTCCCAGGCTTCTGCCTGGCTAGAAACTCTCAGTTTCTCTCTTTGACTGAATCTGAGACCCACATCTTTGGTCCAGTCATCATGACTGAGTATTTCTTATCTTAGGCAAGTGACCGCCAGGGAGACCTTGCAGGGCCTCTGGCTGCTACAGTGGTGGGAGCTCAGTTTGTGGGTTTGATGGAGCAACAGCTGCCTGAGAACTTTGGCCGGCTACTTCTGCTTGTGGACTAAGCCTGAACAGGCTGGCAGCTCTCCAGTGCCAGGAGAGGGAAGACTGTGTAGAAGAGAAAGAGAGACTGGCTGTTGCTAGAAAGCCAGCCAGTACTTTTGTAAAGAAGCACTGTTTAATATGTTCTAATCTCTGTGGTCATTTGGTTGCTGGTGATCTCTGCTGTGTGTGCAAAGACTGAGTGTCTCAGAAGTTAGAGTATGCTCTTTATCCCCACTCCTTTTCATCTTATTGCCCTCTGTTCCCTGCTGCATCTCATATTGCATCCCTACAGCCAGGCGCTCCCTGCTTGAGCAGCTTCTGGGATTCTACCACCAACAGTAACTGTTGGGTGACTTTTTTGGCTTGGAGAGCAAGAGCAAAGGGAA